AACGCTGGCAAGCAGCAGCGGCAGCCAGAGGCCTCGTGGTGTGGGTCAGGGGACGGCAGCCGTCAGCATGAGGTAGCACTTGTGAGACCCCTTTGGGGGAGCTGGGTCCAGCTGAGGGGTCAGCAGTGCGAGACGAACCGCAAAGAGCCCAGGGAGGACACGGAGATGGTCAGCGCCTGGAGCACAGAGTGTACGAGGAGACTGAGAGACGTGGGGTGATCCAGCCCTCAGAAGAGAAGACCAAGGAGATACCTGGCTGTTTCCAGCTGTTTCCAGCTGCCTCAGGGGAGGCAAAGATACGGCCAAACTCTTCCCAGAGAGCTCACTGGTAGGATGAAGGGCAACGGGCACGAGCCACAGCACAGCAAACTCCAGCAGGACAAAAGGAGAAAGCTCTCCATCATGAACTCGGTCCTGCAATAAAGCGTGTCCAGAAATGGGGCTGATTACCTCCCCGTCCTTGGAGGTATCCAAACTGAGGTGGACAAGTCCTTGAGGACCTGGTCTAACTTTAAAGCTGGCCCTGCTCTGAGCAGGGGCAGGACCAGAGACCCCCTCAGGTGCCTTCCAACCAAAACCATCCTGTGGCTCCCTGGGCCGTGTTGGTCTGCAAACGGGACTGGTGACGAGGAACTCAGTTGGACACGTCCAGCTGAGCACCAAACGCTCATAGAAATTATTTACTCGCCACTGACCACCCGTAAATTGGTTATTAGGTATTGTGGCCAATACCAGGGATGATGCCCGCTCTGACACACGTGCTTGTGGTGTGCTCTCAGCCCTCCCTCTGGGCTGCTCTGATGAAATAGGATCACACACATTTTAGGCTCCAAAAGGCACTTTTGTCTGTGGGAAGTGGGAAGAGACGTTGAGCCACAGGAGCGGGGAGAAGTGCTGCACAGGTGAGAGCTGCTCCTCTTTCTGGCCAGCGTCTCCATCACTCTCCCCTCCTGAAAGACCTGGATGCTCTCAGCCACCACCTGAACTTTGCAGATTGGTGTATCCAGGGGGAAGCTTCCCACCAGGTTCCCAAATTTCTCCGAGGTGGAAGGCCTCCGAGCAGCAGTTCAGAGGAGCCACACACCTCATGCCTGCTAGAGTCCCTTAAGTCGCTCTTAAATCTAGATGAGCTTGTCTAGAAGAAACCAAGGTTATCCAGCAAAGCCTGGAGGTACGTTCTCAGTTGCAAAAGTGGGAAGAGCCAAACTCTGACATACTCCTGGACTCAGGCTCTCGCTTAAGGGTATGTCCGAGCCACTTTGGCTTCTATGGCTTCAGGACCACCCCCCCGGGTGTCTCTATCAATATGAAGTTCAAAGACAACTTCAGACCTGCACCCAACCCTGCCCACTGCAGATCTGGAGCCTTTTTCTCAGGGGTGCTGCTGCAGCTCCCCTCGGGGGGATGTCCACGGTCCAGCACTGAGAAGCCAGCCCCGTGGCAGGATCTGGCAGATCTCTGCCCCGCTCTGCTCTGTGCCCCTCAGCCAGGACCAGCAGACGTGGGTGTCCCTGCTGCCCCTCTCACAGCCCGGACGAGGAGCTGGGTGCCTGGTGCAGGTCTCAAAGTCCAGAGCACCAGGAGCCCTGCCTCTTCTGCAAACACGGCGCTGCCCGGCTGCAGACGTGTCCCTCGTGCCACAGCCCATCTCCCGACAGCGTTCCCTGTCTGCGGCTCAACAAACGCAGCGAGACCCTGGTGTCGGGCTGGGCTTTGCGCTGAGCAGCGCCCATCAGCTGCTCCCCGCCTGCCTCCAGCTCACTTGTCTCCCATTAGGTTTAATTGCAAATCAAACTCAATTTAGTTAGCAGAAAGGCAAGCAGACACTTCCAAGGGCTGGCTGATCATCCAGCTAATGACTTTCAGATCAGCAGATGTAATTGCACACCCCTAGAGTTATCAGAGAACGAAACCAAGATGCCACT